GTAGACGGAACCTGGAGGAGGCCGACCCTGTGCGATCTAACGGGTCTATGGGAGGTAATTGGCAGCAGGCGGTCTCTCAAGATTGGATTCTGCCCAGAGTTAGGTTGCAAATCCGGGCGCTACCAGGTGGGCGGGCAGGGCCTCCCGCCACCGCCATTACCAGTTTGCCCGATCCAGGCCGAACCAGGAGCAACCCACCTCTGATTCTGTCCACTATTCGTTTCCAGTGCAGCACATCAATTTTCAATGACTGTGGTATGTCAACTTCCTCAGAGTATTAAAAAAAATCACACAAATGAAAGCATTTCCTGTATCTTCAAGAATTTTGATAAATGAAACAGCAATATTTTCCCACTGCAGTTGTTATTCATTGAAAGGAATATAATATTCCAATGGCTAAAAGTGAAACAATGAAATACCTGATGACCTTAACGGGAAGGAAGGAGTCTGACTCTCTAACAGGATTTGGGATTCTTAAGCACACTACTGCATTTGCAATTTCAATGCCCCTGCAACTAAGCACAATATTAATTATTTGGACAGAGCATACAAAATCAGTGCTATGCACAAAAAAAACACTTTGATTGGGACAGAACCATTCTGAACAAAAATATTAATTTAACGCAAGAATCATTCACTTCTTTTCCAAGTAGACACTGAATTTTGGAAGGCGGTGAACTTTATTTCCCCACCTTATTTTGAGATGTCCATTTAAGTGCCAGATTTTGTTTTTTTTGTTTTAGAAAATATATATTTCTTTGTGGGAAAGGGAATTTGGAAGCAAACTGTTGCATAGAAAAACAGCAGAGAGATAGGATACTTATATTAAAGGCAATTGGTTAGCAAAGATAACACAACTCAGCTCTTAAGGAGGGGGGAATACCGCATAATTAACGAAAGCACTATACTGTGCAAAGAATTGCTGAGGCTGAATTCTCTACTTAACCCCCTGAAAAAATAACAGGGACGACAGTCACGCCTGGAATACTAGTCATGATACCCAACTGCCTGCCTCAGATTGCCTTTCACAGATGCAACACATAGTCTCGCTGATCTACACTTAATCTTATGTTGGCTGGCTGAGAGACTTCCCAAACTAATAATAGACTGCCTGCCTTTGCCACCAGTGGATTCAAGAGCCTCCAGCACATTCAGAAGCAAAAAAATCAATGCTGGAAAAACCACAAAGCATTAACACATTTTGAGATGGAGAGGGCTTTAAAAAAACAAACATGCTTTGCATTGTTAAGCAAACCAGATAGTGGGAAGTTGCAATAGCAGATGACAGCAGGTGTTTTAAAAAAAACCCGTTTACCTGGTAAATGACAACACGAAACTTGTTTTTCCTCAGCATTTCCTCCTGCTTGGTCTCCACCTTCTGCACATTAACATTCTGCCTCTCTACTCGGGCTCTGACTTCTTTGACCCGAGCGCTAACTTTGCGTGTTTTCTCCAACAGCTTGTTAACTGTGTACCCTGTGTTGCCGTGGGCCTGAGCCAGCTTTAGAATGTCAATCTGGATGGTCTTGATGGCGTCTTCCATGTCTCGGTGGCGCTGCTCAATCCGTTTTTGGCTGGCCTGCACGCTGTCTACGATAGTGGCGACCTTGTCCAGGACTCTGACGATGGTAAACGCGGCATCTTGTTCTTCTTCATCATCCGCGATGCTCGGCTGGCGGTTTGGGTGGATTTTATCGATTTCCAGGGTTGCACGATGATCCATACTGCCCCGTCTTCAGATCAGTCTACGGGAGTTGAAATATAACAGCCGTTCAAACCTCAGTGGGACAATCCTGGCACTGATGCCAGAAGGCTGCTCGACAGCTGTCTTTAAGGGAATGTTCAAAAGCAGGATCTGAAACTCCACCCCAAGACTCTTGTCAAATATTTATACCCACAAAATAGCCACGCCTGATTGTTCAAATGCCTCCTGTAATATGAACCCTCTAAAATTAGGAAGCAGCACACTGGGAAATGAGCATGCACTGGAAGAAGCACATTCCTATAACCAATAAACTTATCTGGGTTAATCTAGAAACAGTAAACAATATAGCAAAGAACGAACCCACAGTCTATTAAAATCCACGTTGCTCCTGTTTTAATTTTAAATTATCTTTTTTTTCTTGCGTTCAGGTGGTAAGGAGAGGATCGATGCGTTCTAACAGACTTTTGACAATTGAAATGACATTTCCTATTTTCTTCCCAAATACATAGGTTGCGCCTTACAATAATGAATAAAACACATTTGGGACAGATTAAATAAGAAAAGAAAAACATTGCATTGGCATAGTTTTCCAGTTGAAATATTCAAAGCCTTTTTATTGAACAAATTATTTATTCCTACATGCAGAATTGGAAAGCCTAAAACTACATGTTAAAACAGTTGGAACACACCCTAGTTACATTTTAGCTCTGAATCTTCCAAACAATTACTAACATCCTATTAATATAATAAATACAACCAGAAGACTTCATTTGGAGACACATTCTTAGCTCTTGGAATTATTCTTGACAAGAGCACAAAATCTTTTATACTGTTTTTGCTTTTTTGCATTTTAATCACAAAGACTATACAATTGTGTTTGCTGATGTGAAAACAGGTATCTTCTTTAGAAAACTGTAGTAAATATGAAAATTGTTTAAACAGTGGCTAACACAGCTACATCCCAATCAGGTATGTGGATTATTAACATAATTCTTAACAAAAAAAAGCAATATATTTGTCTCTCCAGGACAAATGTGCTCTTCTCAGCTGAGCAGTTTTTTTGAATAATGAACTGTATATTATAATTATTATTTTACAATTTAAAAATAAAGTGTCCGCTATTTATGAAGAAGATGGCACTGAAACCTGGGCCATATATCTTGGATTGGATCCAGACTAAAGAGGCAATCCTTTACATGCTTACCTGGGAATAATTTCCATTAAACTGAATGGGACTTATTTCAGAGTAGAGATGTATAGGATTGCATTTTAAGTTAATTGCACAATTTGTTTTCATTGAAAACAATGGGAATTTAGATTAACTCGTCCACTGATTCTTCTGAGCGCTAGCTTAGTCTGGATTCAGCCCATTCTAAATGTTACAACTACACACAAAAACACATCTCCACATTTCATGCGATTGGCAGTGTCTAAAAAAACCTCTTACTAAGTTTTAAAAACATTTAAATATCTACGGTATTTAAACACAGTGTCTTCTAGTTCCTCGTAAGAAAAGTATGCTGTAAACATCTTTTACCCTTTTTGCTAGGAAACATGATGGGCTCCATTTTCATTTGTTGAATAATCATTGGTGAAATGTCTCTCTTTTCAAAATTCTTACACTCCATGATTAAAGCACAAGTCTTATCAATATAACCATGGGATACAAATACAAGAAATAAACTAACACCTTCCTCAAACCATGAAATGAGAAGTTACTAAAGCAGTCCATAGCTGTTAGCTGCTTCCTGTAATAAAACGAGACAGCGCTACGCTAAAAATAATAACAATAATAATTAACATGTCCAAAAATAAGGCCTCTGAAATAAATATTTCCATTGTTTTAAAAAAAGTTAATAAAATTGTACATCACATGGTCAATGTAGGTATAAAAAAATGCCGCTAAACCATTCTGGATGACGTATCTGAAGTAAAGTGGCCTAGATTTTGCTTCTGCCGCCGTCCTCTGTTGTTTTGGGGGCATTTCCTGTTATCAGAAGCAAGCAGGAGAGAAAGATGAGTCAGTAAACCCAAGTATTTAAAAGCATTTTTTCACAATTAGAGGGGGTCCTGGATTAGTGACCCGCAATTTCTGTTGCTAAGCGATGCAGTTCCTAACGGAAATATCATGTGACTCGGGTGACAGGAAGTTCTCCAGCTGGACAGACGTGGGGGATGTGAGCTCTGAAGAGCCTCACATTTTTTTCATTTTTTCATTTTCCCTTTATTTGTATGCCGCCCTTTTCCCTGGGGGGGACTCAGGACGGCTCACAGTTAAAAAAAGGGGGGGGAAGGACAAACAATTTCTAACATAAAGACAATACATCATTATTAAA